ACTTGGTACCACAGTGACTGCCCTACTTAACTAAGACTCTGCACTTAGTCCTAAGAACTCGAACTGAAATGCAGAGAGCCAGAAACTGCAATCTCATATAAGAAATTACCCTTATAAATGATCAGAGCTGCAAGAACTTTTACTTCTCTGCCCAAGTAGCTTCATTTCCTGAATGTTCTATTAAAGAAAGTCTGTAGAGGTCTGTATCTGTATTAGCAGGTCTTTGATCCTTGACGATCAACTGAAAATATCAAAATCCAAACTGCTTTTAAATGTCTCACAGGTATATTTACAAGTACTTTCTCAGTTTTATTCTTTCTTTATTAAGCAAGTGATACTGTCTGGAAAAGACATATGGTCCTGTCCTGCCTTTGCCACTGCAAAACTGCAAAGGAAACATTTTGTGTTTTTTTTCTGAAAAAAATCAAGAATACATCCGTGTTTCCTAAATGGGATCACAATTCAACTTTTTTTCATTGGATCTATGTTTATTCTCTGACACCACAATGATCTCTAATGTGACAGCTTACTTTGAAGGATAACAATGGAAACAGACTCCTAAGAAACAGTATCCCTGAAAAACTACTAAGGAATGAGAAATTATAAAATATTTTCTACCTTTCAAATGAGGAATACCACAAATTCCTAGAGCAGAGTGAAATATTAAGTATTACCACTACTTTTACACACCAAAAAAAAAAAAAAAAAGTCTTGCATTAGTTCTACTGCAGATAAGGGAATTTCACTATTTATCAGATAACCAAATTATTCTTAAAGGACTATATAATTTCACAAATAAAAAGCTACTTACTTATTCATTAATAATTGTGACCAAAATGTACATCTGTACTGTAAACATATATAAGCCCTGCTATTGGACAGTGGCAACTATTTTATTCCTAGAGGACATATTCATACCCTACCATCTTTTATGCTTGGCACATAACTCTAAGACAAGCACCATCAATGCTATTTTAGTTTTCTTTAAACTGTAGAATACTGGCATTGGATAACAGGGAAGGACTGGGAGAGGACAACAGGCAGGGAATGTACCTGTGGACCACCCAGCTGGAAGCCCTGCAGACCCCTTTAACAGCACAGTGCTTGGTGAAGCCACGCATAAATTCCAGGTGGGTGCTAGGAACGATAAATCAGTGATGGTCCAGAAAAGTAACTCTAGCTCCAACCTGGCAATCTCATTACATTTTTTCCCTGTGGCCCACCATCCATTTGATCTTCGCATGGACACGGACATTTTTCTGGATCTGCCAGATATCAGCACAGTCAGTCTCAGGTCCTATATGAAAGGTCAGGCCCTATCAATGTGAGATGAAAGAGCCTTTTCAACAGAGGGTGGGAAGGACTACTTTGATCTCAGAAACATAAGGTTTGCGGGGAAAACGCAGCAACAGGTATGCTTACTTTCTGATTAATTCTGAAATCACCTTGGGAAATAATTCTGCGTGGATCCACAAGGACACCTTCACCTGAGAGAAGGTCATGCAAGGAGGAAATCCACCTTACCCTGGCTTAGCTACTTCCCTGTTTTCCTGTTGGAAGCAAATGCAATCTAGTTTTTGCAAAAAGATGGAACAGTGAGCAGGACTCTCTGCCTCAAACAACGGTCCAAAAAGCATTTGGAGAACCAAGCTCAAATTCTTGTTTGGAACTGAATCCACAACACTGAATTAATACAAAAGAAAACATTAAGTCAGTTCTCAGGCTAGGTATAGATTCCTGCCAGTGCAAGGTTCCTGGGTCAACTGCTTCCCGGCTGGTAGACAGCAACCTCAGGCTACTTCTGCATGTTACACAGTCCACTGTCCTAGCGTCCTCTACCACCAGCCGACAAGTACATGGGAAACTGAACCAAAAGGCCTGCAGAAGGGATGCACCCATCACAACTGACCTAGATGAAAGAGGAGGACGCAAGGGTATTATTAAAAGGATAAATGCTGAATGGATTTCTCCACATAACTGGAGAATATCTTGCTCCTAAAGAAAGGCTAATAGGTATCTGCCTTTACACTTACCACGACCAGGCAAAACATAAGTATATGTTGCCATTTGTCCTGGGATAAACAAGGAGGCATTCACCGTGGTAACATGATTAAAGTCCACCTGTAACATTAGGTTCTCATGATCTGCAATTTGTCAAAAGGTGGTAAGTCTTTGGCATCTGGTAATGATTTCTGTTGCCTGAACTGCAATGAGAAGTGATTGTTGCGCATTCATTCTCTGACGCATGCACATCAACAGACTGGAGGACCCAGTCTCTTGACAGTCCCTTTATCAGTCAGCTGTCCCAGGTATAAAAATAGATACAATTGCCTCAAGTGAACAACTATCCAGCCAATGCACTGTTAAACACTGTTGTAGGAGCAGAGAGTACGAAGGGAAAGTTTATTTTTTGCAATGCCGTCCATATACTGCCAACTTCACCCTTTTAAATAAGAACATGTGGATAAAGGTGTTGAGTCTTCTTATGCCATATCAGTAACCTGTCTAGGTTGCTTGCTCTAAACCCTTAATTGCTGAGGTAAAAGGGAATGAGTTCTGTGGTTCCCAGGGTTAATGAAAAGTCAATTTCCTTCAAGACAGATTTGCACAGGGTGGGTCTCCAAAAATACTCATAATGGGAGGTGGAGGAGAGGAGTGGGACTGCTAGAGAACAGAAAGGCAAACTGGATCAAGTAACTTGTGGTAAGTGTCTAAAACCCAGAATGATCCCTTGCCAAGTTTGATGGAAGAGAGCTAACATGTTTCCAAAAGCGAGAGATGGAGAAGCAGATGAAAGCAACTGAATGGGATATTTGCACTCTTTGAGAATGTTTTCAAGACTGCTGACAAGAAGACAATGAGGGGGTAAGAGCTGGCAATGACACCTGTAGTCTATGCCAGTGATGACAGTATCATCCCTTGTGTTCTTGTTGCTGGAACAGATTCTGGGTGTGGAACAGAAGGAAAGTGGCCACTGTACCAAGCCAAACAGGCGGATCTGCAGCTTCTTCTAAGTAGCCATAAAAGATTCAAAGCAGGATAAGAATAGTTCTGGAATCCTTAACTGTAGATAACTGCTGACTGTCCCTGCACTAAACGCAAACGAGATGTCAGAAATTGCCAAACAGGAGAGCAACAATCTGCATCCAAGTCCTCCTTGGAATCTATGGGATGGGATTCTGCAAAGGAGACCAGGTATCAGTGAGTTTGTCTTCATAGCTAGAGCAGCTGTTGACTCACCAAACAGCTGAAGTGAACACACTTAACCAACCAAAATTATTTAGGTACTTCAAACCTGCAGTGTGAGAGCATGACTGCTCAGATTTCTCTTCACTGCTGAAAGAATCAAGGAAGATGGAACCAGATGGATGAAGAGAAAGTTACTGGCTCCTAAGAATACTGATACTCCCTTTATAGTTGGAGAAAAAGAATGTATCAAAAGATCTTGCTATGATCCAAAATGGTTTCATTAACTCTACATACCATATGAACTTACAACCAACTATTAGCAGTTTCAATTTCCTCCCTGAGTGCAAATTGGAGGAGACTTCAAATTTGCTTTAAGAGGTTTAGAAAGACTCTCAAACCCACAAACCTAAAACCTTCATTTCCAGACAGCAGTATCCAGAAGGTGATGTGTACCAGTTTCCTTGACATCCCTTAATTGTAAGGTTCAGAATAAAAAATGAAAGGCAATCTAAACTTGCTTATTGAAATAGGCTCCAGTGCTTGTTGCTGCTACTCAGGATTCAATACTTCTGAAAATAAGAGGATAAAGAGCTATGCTGAATCAGTGCCTCCTCACCTCCTCCCTTCAAACTAAGGCACATCCTTCTTCAAAGATGATACGTAATAGAGACTTTCTAGTGGTGCTGAGTTGCTGCAAGAGGTGGGGAATCCCTTGAAGAATCCTTCTTAAAACAAATGGTAGGACTGAAGGGCCTTGTAAAGCCCTTTAGGTTGACTAGAAAGTTGTCTCAGTATCAGGTGTGTACTATGTCAATTAGCAATTTCGAATGCTGACAAGAATGGAAATAAGGGCTAATTCAGCATGCACAGAATCCTTGGCATTAAGTAAAAAAATAATGCTGTCTTTCATGTCAATACTGGAGTTGCATTTGGCAACCCCAAGGGAGAGGCAGAACAACATTTCTGAGCACCACAATCAGTACTGTTGACTGAAGCCAGACAGGAAAAAACCACAATTTTGGGAGTGCTTCCCTTGCTTTTTTTCAGTAGGCATCGGTGGCAGAGCTGTCAGCACTAATACTGGAGCAGACCATTTGGGTGACTTGAGCTTCCACAAGAGATTCTCAAGCGGCCAAACCAGAGCTGCAAAGGGAATCAAAACATCCTCGTGTCCATCTTTTTATCAGTCCTCAAGAAGTGTGATGTTTGGCACGCCGAGTGCTAGCTAATGGTAAATATCCCATACTCTGGGATGCCACTTCTGCTTACATGCTAGGAAACAGCTAAGTTTTGGTCCCCACCTCAACGAGTTCTGAGGTTGATACACTCAACTGTTTTTAGCAGAAATATCTAAAATTTCAACTCCCTCTCCCTGCAACTGGGGAGTTCAGATAAAACCCAGCAGACTCACTACCTTCCTATTCCCCCTCGCCTCCACTGACGCTACATAAACACTAGTTATACAGCTCAGTTAAGCAGGATCATATGTTCCAAGTGACAGACAGATGGAAGATTATTTTTGAAGAAATCATCGGAAGATAAAGACTTTAACAGGGGAATGCAAACATGAGAAGGAAAATGCACGTTAGAGGCCTTTTTAAACACTAAGAAGCACAGCATCAATATACATACAATCATCACAAAGAACAGTAGCACATACAATTCTGAATAACAACTGCACAGTATTAATCAGGCAGACTGTCAGTTCTTTACTAGAATGAACAGTTTTCAGCATACAAACATCACAATCTAAAATTAAATGAAAAATAAACATTTTATACTTTATTACAAGAATATATTCTAAATCATACCTCGGGTGCCAGGTATTCTGGAGTACCACAGAATGTTTTCATAGTTGCTGCGTCTGTGATGCCTTCTTTGCAAAGTCCAAAATCTGTAATTTTTATGTGTCCATCTTTATCCAACATTAGATTTTCTAACTGTGCATTGGGGGGAAAAAAATGTTCCCTTAGTACTTCTTAACAGGACAGGGCTGATGCATTACCTCAATTTGGTAAATAAGATACAGAGTTATTGCTTGCATTAGAATGTAATTTGTTTGTAATTTTAAAAAAATTTACAGCATCTATTATATTACAGCTTTTAACAGTGTTTACTGTTACACAATTTAAATAATTATTTAATACTTTAATACAGTTTACAATAGTAAATCCCACATCAATCAAAGCATGACCTTTCATTCTGAAGTTTTACAAGTTTGATGCATCTTCCATAGAACAAAAGCAAAATAATTTTCTAAATATTCTCAAGATATAATCAAGTAATTCAAGGTTACAATCATGGCTGTCATTTGGTAAGACTTCATAGGTCTCCTTTGCTGTAACAGGACCTTCATTTATCAAGATCCATTTTACTTACTATACTGTCATGAAACAGTATATATCTGTAAATCCTGAAACATCTGCATCTTCCACAACCTTTCCAGTAACAGACAAAAGTGGGGTCAGAGAGGCTACTGACAAAAACAAAACCCTGAGGTAAATTCCTCATTGTATACTTGAAAAGGACACTGTTCTTCAACTGTGTCTGTGTACCTCTGCATGCTTTGCATTGCTTTTTAAATACATGATTCTTGCTTTGAAATGTGAAAACAGAATATAGCCTGTTATGAAGTATTTAAAGAATGGGAATAAAAACGACTGCAATATTTACTGTAGACTATCTCAAAAGCATGGCCAACATCACTTTCCCAAAAGCTTTTTATTAGCAATACTTTAAATACAGATAGAACTAAGAAGAAGTAAAACATACTTCTGAACAACTTTTCTCAAAAGAAAGTTTTTTTTTCTAATTGTAAGGTGTATAGTGAAAATACTAACAAGGAACAATCATACCCATCTTCCTAAGTCTGCATAAAGCCTGAAATAGAATTCAAAGGTATATATTTCCTGTTGAGTCTAACAGTGTCATACAAAGAAGATGCAAAGTAGATGACACCAGCAATAGAAGATTAATGTCAAATTCCTCTTTCCTTGCTATTTAGAATTTAAATCAGAAATCATGACCTATCATTCCTTGACCAGACAATTCCATATTTTTCCAACATGTCACAGCATTTCATGTTATTACAACAGATTCTGCTACAAACAGGTAACCCAGTAGTTTGTTTTCTGTCTGCCTCCCTGAGCAGAACCTGTCTACCATTGCCGCCTCCCTCCTCCTTGGTTCCTATACAAAGGAGTCCATGAATGGACTCCACTACTGCGCACATATAATGGGAAAGCACAATTTCCCGTACAAGAAATTAAAGGCTTTTCGCAGAAATAAAATAGTCTCATTGTGGAATTTAGAGGTTCCTCCCACATAAGTTAGAAAATATTCCTGTTGAAAGCAGAGGTTATTTTCCATAGAACATGGTCATACTGGTCACTGAGTACCTGGAGCTTCAGGCAACAGGATACACAACTGTATACGCAGGCAAACTACATTCCAGTATTATGAATCTTTCCCAAGATACAGAAGACAAAATAATTTTTAAATTGAGGCTGAAATTCTTTTCCTATTGAAGTATTCTGAATTGTTTTAAATATCTTCAAATCATACAAGAGCATAACTCTTTGGTGAGATAAACAGAATACAGTCACATTGTCCCAATTCCCCATTTCCCTTGTTGGGGGACATTGAAAATTATATTTGAGATTTGTGTTGAAATCCAAGTTAAGTTATAAGTAATGGGGGGAAAAAAAGGATCAGAAGTTTAAATCTCCTTCAAGTGCTATTACTAAGTTACACTTTTTTGTTTTTTAATCAAGTTAAAGTCATGTGATGTACCCATCTATAGAATACTGTATGAAATGGCTTCCTTCAGCACACACAGAACTTTAAACTGAACACAGATTTTTTTTTTTCCCCATTAACTCTGAATAGTGCAACTTTATAATTACTTTGTGTTTGTCCCAATAGTCTCTGCAAAAACAAAAATTTGATTACTTTTTTTTTTTCTTTTTTTACCTTGAGATCACGGTACACAATCTTCCCAGAATGCAGATAGTCCAGGGCAGAGACAATTTCTGCACCATAGAAGCGTGTGCGGTCCTCTGAGAACACCCGCTCTCTCGACAAATGGAAAAACAGCTGCAGGGTAAACAGCAGGGACAGGATTGTAATAATTACTGATTTAGTGGGGGAAATTAACACAAACATAAAACACCTCTCATCACCATATTGTGATGATAGATAGTGTACTCTCAGTGGACACTCAGCACTCTTAGACAGCAGCTGGCTTATCTTTTCCAGGTTTCCAAAGGGAGAAAGCGAGCTGTTAAATCAGCGTTTTAATCAATATACCAATCTTGTTTAAGGCATTCTGCTTGCTACTCATTTAACCTTCAGTTACCAAAGGGAAAAAAAAAAGTATGCAACAGCATCATTCTGTACTCGTCCCTCCACCACTTCCTCGGATTTTTATTTTAAGCCACTGAGAAATATCACTAGAATACCCAGATTCTGGATCTGCCTTAAGTTTTTCAGTCATTTAGTAACTTCCCTTTGAACTGAAAAAAGTCTAGTCCTTCAGCAGACTTTGACTGAACAGGTGAACTGGCATTTTACAAAAACAGCACATTCATACTGCTAGCAATATCGCAGTCACTAGAAAAAGCAAACCAACAACTGCTTAGGGCTTATAAAAACAAATCTATGCATTTAGTGTATTTCTTTGCTACGATGTAAACATTTCTTTGAGGGTTTTGTCTCTTCGTTAATACTTTGTAAGTAACAGCACTTTGCAGACACTTTTTCAACTGAGGTCTTTCAGTGAAAACTATTGGTCATTATGTATTGCCAGTAACTTCAGCTGCAATGAAAAAGCGTAAGGTGAAGTTCTGTAAGGTTGTCAGCATCTTATGGGATAAAGCATCACCCTCAGAACCTGGAATAACACCTAAAAAAGCAGAATTTGGCTATTTAATTCAAATGCTCTCTAAAATGGCTAGTTTTATTTACTGTGTTAAGAAAGCTTGGGAAAGTCCTCAAGCAAAGATTAGTGAGTATGTTTCTGTATTTTGCTTAAGACCAAAAAGGCCACCTGCCTTACTCCAAGTTATGATGTTTTTGGTTTTACCACAAGAGCTAACAAGCAACAGAACAGAAATACAGTAAATGTGATCATTTATAAATTAAATATAGACAAGGAAATCCATAACAACAATGTGGTGTGGTTTTTTTTTTATTTTCAGTGCTAAAAATATCAAGTAGATGAGAATTCCAAAATGGCAGGGGAGGTACAAAAAAAACTCCAAAATCCAAAACCCAGTAATGTGCTTAATCTGTCACTACCACATCCTACTTTACACCTGTAGGAAATCTACACTGCTGACACAGCACAGAGCAGGGTAAGAATTACTGCAGCTATTTTCAGTGTGTGCACTTTTCAAAATGTAATTAAAAGGTCAATCCTATAAACAACTAGAAGTCAACTTCTTTCCTGACAGTTGTGCTTCAAAAAATGTTCATTACTTTCTTCTGAACCTAAACAAACTTCCCACTAAACTGAGCCTTTTGGCAGCATATATTTATACAAGCAGAGACTTCACAGAAAACGGAAAGTGCAGTATGATTTAAGAGAATATTTCATTTTTGTTCATTGTGTCTGCATTCCCCTTTCAATTTCTTTTTGAATTCTCAAGACACCCTGTATAAAAATGGAATACCTGCATGACAAGGAGGATAGCTATTTTGTTTCTGGCTGCTTGTCTCCCTGTTTAAGTACCAACCCCTGGTGGCGACATCAGCCCTCCCTGCAGTAACCTGCTTTCTGTACTGACGACTGCTTAATTGCCAAGGCAAACACAAGACCCATACAGACTAAGCAACTAAGTCTGCCTTCATGAAGTGCCTCACATATTATAAAATTGGGAAAAGAATAAATACATTTCTCAATTTGCGGGGTCTTTTCCACACATTTTTGCAAGATTTAAATGGGAAACAAACACCGCTGAGTAGATCTTCATCCAAATAAAGCAAAATACAAAATTTATGTAAGTAATTCAAAATAAAGGCCAACTTTCAGATCACTTTTTAATGTGTACAAATAGCAAACACATTCAAAAAATTGATAATATAACCTCCAGTTAGCCCTACATTCATATCTATGCAAAAGGACTATTGCAATTTTCTGGATGAAAGAGCCTACTCCAGTAGCTGAGCAGCAAAGTCTTAGAATCTAAAACCTCAGGATACTTGTCAGCAACAGATGTATTAGTTTCCGTAAAAAAAGTGTCCCAATTTGAGTCTGAGAGTTGATAACCTGACAAGTTAAGGTAACAAAAATTTATTTTCTTTAGTGTTTATTTCAAACAAAATATTCTTGCTATTAATTCAAAATACTAACTTCAAAGTAAAATGACCAACTAGAAAAAACAGCAACGGTTCTGTTTCCCAAAGAGACCACGAGTCCCCAAGTCAGTTTATTTTAGCGTTATATATGACACTACAGTCACTCTTCATAAACATTCTTCATATTATAGCACCTAACAGCTGTCATCAAACTATACGTGCTAGTTTTGAATGAAGAATGTACATTTAGATATAAAAATGCATGTTAAAAGTGAATTCATACGCTCAGATATATGCTAAAGATACTAAAGCAAATTTTAAAATTATAGTAGAAAAATCTAATTCAGTGAGATTACAGTATAATTTTCAGCTAATTATTTAGTTGGTTCATTATTTTGGAATAATTATGCCACTCGGCTCTATTTACAATTGTCAGAACATGAAGATTAGATTTATTAAGTCAGAGAAGGAAAAGAAGAAATCTGATGGAAGGTTATGAAAAAAGCTTCCAACATTTGCACTATTTATTGATTTACAGTTATTAAATATGTGTTATAAAGTCATCGGAATTGCAATAGAAATAGCTTTGGCACAAAGAAAGCCATTTTGCACATAACATTTTTGATGGCATACATGAGGGTGCTATAGTTACAGTGAGGACTGGAGCTATAAATTTCCTGGTATGTCTGTATTTAAAAACTGAACAATGTTGCCATGCGTTTTTTTCCTAATGAAAAATTTTAATGGAAAAATTTTAACAAATAAAAACAAAGATCAAACATAAAAGTATATTCAACTGCAGATCCAAGCATGCCAAATATATAAAAGACACAACCTTGTATCAATCCATATGTTAAACTTCTGCAAATGATAGTGACCTGTTTAGCATGTTGAATGGTTGTATGACTGGCTCTTGCTGTTGTATATTGGGTTTCCTCAGCTCTGCAGTTAAACAGATTTTATATTTGACTGTTGATTTGACTCTTTTGCAAAGCATTTGCAGTAGCAGCCTTGAAATTTTGAATTACTTGTTTATGGTTTCAGACTTTATACTGCTTCTAGGCACATTCTATACCCAAAGAAATATAGCACCCTTATCTTGGACTATCATAATTTTAGGCTAAGGAACATTCTCTCATTTACTTAAGAGTTTAGGAAAACAAAATGGGGGACAACCGAGATAAAAACAACAAAGCTTACAACAATAGTCAGTTATTTTTCATTAGGTAGGTTGTAAATCCGCTGTCTTTATTTCTAGACAGTAATAGCACTTGTTCAATTACAACAAACCATTTAGTTCTCTCTTGCCTAATGAATTGAAGTAAGAGTTGTTGAAAAAAAAAATGCCAAGCAGAACAGAGATTCAAAATTCTGGTGTGGAGAAACCATCTGAACAAATTTTAGACTCTAATTTTATTATACAGATAATTACCAATTAAGTTTGTTGCAAATTACAGAATTTGGAATTAACCTGAAAGCGCAAAGCAAGGAAATTAATCAACTTATTAGTCAGCTGAATCAGTGTATGTAATAGATTTCATTCCTAAAGCTTTTCAACCTTTAAAGCAAAATACTGGAAATAAAAAATGGGAAACATACAGTCCAAAAGTATTGCTCAACAATAAAGAGCCATTCTTAGAATATCATTTTTTATACCACAGTTTATACCATTCTGTGTGGCCTGGAAGTTGAAGGAACACTGTCATGTACTACTAACGTACCGCGATCACATGGTACTCAAAATTATATGAGTTACAAAAGGAAGAGTGGGCAAATCAATACTAGCAGGAAAACCATGAATACGGGTTTCAAAATGTTGACAGGACAAGAACAGCAAAAAATGCAGAAAAATGAAAGGGTTTGCTTTTCTTTACAGTAGGCCTGTGTTCATCTGTAAGTACTGATAATTTTACTTCAAAAATATTTACATGAATATTCTACATTTTGAGCCAAAGTAAAGAACACAATTTATCATGCAATACTGCATACACTTTTTTACCACTCACTCATAAAATATGCCATTTCAAAATCTTGATAATGGAATTTGGTCATCTCAACTAAGCCAGATTAATTTTTTTTTTTTTCTAAGATCACATCTCAATGTCTTAATGCTACTTTAATTCCTTCAGTATAACAAAGGTATTGAGAAGTAATCACAATGTTAGCTTCTAGCTCTATAGTGCAGCATAGTTTATGATCAACAAACATTGCTAAACATTTCATCGACAGAGTCCAACAGCAACACTAAAACAAGAAAAAGTTAAGCTTTCATCCCACAACAAAGATTTCAAGATCGGTCCCTTAAGCAGCAGAAAATTAACTGTAGAAGTTGTCAATATAAGGAAAATGTATTCAATATTTCCATCAGAATAATTTGCTTGGAAAAAATCCTCTAATGTTTTGCTTTAATATACTTATTTACGGAATAGGCTTTTTTTTTTTTAAAGGAAGTCAAAAGAGAATTCGATACGGTAATACTTTGTATGTTGTAAGAAAGCACACACATAGACCAGTAAAACTCATGCAGTTACATTTTCATTATAACGTGTTCCCATATTAACTGAGCCTAACTAATTTGAAGTTACATAGGCAAGGCAAGGCAAAGATGAATTGCTACTATTCTGGCAGCATATTAAATTCAACATGGATCTCGATTTTTAACAGGTATAGGAGATTCTTGTTTAGAATCATTTTAACATACTTTCTTCTCCTCTAGAATGAAATTCAGTGACCCCTTCCTTGACTGCTTTCCTTCCTAAGCATAGGGAGAGGAACTGAAGACTTCTAGTACTGACTACACTTTTTATTACTGTAGTAGGTCAGAACCTAAATTGTGGCATTATCTTGCTTTCACCTGGGTGAGAGTCAAGAATATGGATACAAATTTCAAGAACTCCTTCATTCGGAGGACTGCTTGGGTAATGTGCTCCTAAAAGACATAATCCATGAAAATTCCCAAGCAATTGACTCAGGCACAACTGTTTGTTTAACTCAAAAGAAATCTTTAAGCTAAAGGAATTTTAAACAGAAACACACTGAAGGTAGTACAGCTCTGGAGAGAATGAAAAGCAACGTGGTACTGCTACAGTCAATTTCCCACTGGAAGGATATAATTAAAAGATGAGTTTTCAACACCTTCAACAGAGAAACCATTGTAAGGAAATGAAACTTCCCTGGAACACAGAGAGAACAGTAGAGGGAAGCAGCAAAAGAAAAAAAGTCTCTGTACCATATAGCAGATATGCTTACAAATGGCTAAAATGCTGGCTAAACTTTGTACAACTTATTTTCAGTAGTTCTGAGTTAATAACAAGGCTATTTTTACAAATATGAAGTCTTTTGTATTTCTTAGCAGACAGTGACTGAAGTCTGAAATTCACAGGAAAATTTGGTAAGACTAAAGGTTTTCCTATTAAAAAGGACAGTTTGTTTCAACTTAGCCTTCCAGATCTCTAGTCAAAGAGAAGCACATAAGCAAATCAAGAGTTTCGTCAAAGAAAACTGCCTACTCTGAAAGGCCATTATTTCCCACTGTGGCAAAAATTTACAGTTAGCTTCACTGAATTAGGGAACCATCAGCAAAGAACACGAGCAGCACTGACAAACAAGAGTATCATGCCTGGAAAAAAGCGACCCACGCTTGGCAAAGTACACTGCAATCATTCAAATCCCAATAAGCAAAAGCAGACTGCCACCAAGAAACCCATGACACAAGACGTTTGCAGCGGCGGCCACAAAGGTGCACCACCCAGTGCAGAGGAACGCAAGATACAAGCCTGATCAAAACACAGTGTCAGAGTATTCTCAATCATAAGAAAGGAGTCAAAAACATTCTCTGTGGGCTCTGCTCTGCATTCAAATAGGACAGAAAGGTATCTTTCAAAAAGATGAGTATCTAAATGATGGGCTGATGTTAAAAACATACTTTGAAAGTGCAATAAGGTCTTACACAGAGAAAACTAAGAAGAATTAGCTAGTTGATAAGGCATCACTTTTAAAACGCATTGTAGATAGCACTGACTTGGTGACACAAGTTCAATGTCAAATAAGCCAGCTGAGTGTCCAAGAGAAGGCTGTAATCCCATTACTGCTGAGGGAGATTTTTGTGTCCAGTTCAAGTAGCCTGTGATGTCCAGAACCGGGTTTATACCTATCAAGTTAAACAAGCCATCCTCCCATATGAGAACCCTATAGCACCGTGTTTAGCCATGGCTGGGAGAGGACAGCCATGGACAAGTCAGGATGTAAATGGGCCTCAGACTGGGCCCAGAAATCGCCAGAGCAGTGAATGCAAGACAGGCACTCTGGGGGTGCTCAGGCATCAGGATTATAGTTGAAGACAGTTTTATTGTAGGAGAACATAGCAAAAGGACAATGCAAAATATGGTATCATGCTGCAACAATACCTGAATGAAGAAACAGTTTTCTAATAAAAAAAGCTACACTTAGTCCTTTAACATTACTATGCAGTATATAGTACACAAAATAAGGAAAAGCCCCTAGTTCATGCTGTAACGAGATACAGTCTGAATAGCAAACAGCACCTAAAAAGTAGATAAAAGCCCACTTCTTAGATTGCAATTCTCTTTAATTCCATTTTACAGGTATAGTTTTTGATATTCTGTTCTTCAGTAAAGAGCTGGGAGACAGCAACGGCTTAAAGGCTAACGCCACTGTAAGAAGTTTAGCACTTAAGCTGAAATTTCCAGAGTACACAGCAAGTGAAGGGGACAGAAGTAATGAAAAATATGAATGCTCCACTCTTTTCTCATAGGTATTTGCAACGGCTATAGCAAAGAAGAGAGCGTATATTTCACATTAGGACAAAAGCAAGACTAGTCAACATTATTTTTGCATGTTTGCACTAGATTATGACCGTTTCATGCCAGAACATGCTATAATATGCTTGAAGAAAAAACAATAAGCTATTTGTAATTATTTCTCTACCATGAAATTATCCTTCAAGATACAACAGTCTAAGTTTTAAGAATAGGAACTACTTTTGACAACATAGTTATAAAACACATTTACATTTTTTTTAAAATAAAGCAATTCTAAAAGTTTCAAAAAAAAAACCCAAAACACTTCAAAGATATTAGAAAGCAAAAAAGGCTTGAAAAAATACATCCTGTAAATTATAACCCAGTAACAGCATTACCATTACAAGTGCAGAACATCTTTTTTAAACTTACCTCTCCTCCGTTAACATACTCCATCACAAAACACAAACGATCCTTTGTCTGGAAGGAATATTTCAAGGACTTGCAAAGAAAACAGCAAAACCAAACCAATTATCATCTTGTATTAACCCAATTTCTTGCACTTAAACTGTAACAAAATTTAATTTTATCCTCCTAAGCAGAGAGTTCTGACTTGGTGAGAACTTTCAGATTAATTAAAAGTGTAACTTCCTATCTGGAGCTTGAGATGAATTGACACAAAAACCATCGTGTCTTCCTTCATCTCTGCCACGTGGCCATTGATATGAAAACACCAGGCTTATTATACCAAAATACTAAATAGTTACTAAAATACACAATTTTCTACTGCATTTCTTATTGCCATATATGGTACCAGCTATTCTCACTCATCATATTTTATGATGTCCACTTCCACAATGCCCATGAAGACAGAGATTACCATACTCTTTTTAATTTCTCCCAAATAAAATCTTAAAAGTGATCTTAACCTCCAGCCTGCTTCCATTTCCAAGGCAAGGAGACTCTAGTTTCACATACTATGCGATGTTAAAAACAGTGAATGCCAAATGAATATATTTATTTACGTATCATTTTAAAGTTGTAACAAACGTTATCTTAATTAAAATTTTTGACTTATCAATGTTGATTTGACTTTGTTTGGAAAAATAATACAAAAAGAAAATCTACAGATGAAGGCTTGGCCTAAAAAAAACGAAATGCAGAACTATACGTAACAAAAACATAAGGAGACTCATGTGACTTAAATACTGTATGTCTCCTTAAAATATTTGTTTAATAATATCAGAAAGATATAAAGATACAACTGCAGTGACACTGTTCCATGATTTGACTGGAGTTACGCCTACTCCTGCTTACCTTTACACTCTAAGAAACTTTGGGGGACCTCATTTCTCTTGACTGAATTTCCAAGAATATTTTGGCCAAGCAATGTAAATACAATCCTCTGCTTTCTGAAGGGTTACTTTATGATTTTCTAAATAGGACACTTCTATGCTATACTTTGATATTTTAATACAAAAAAGAAAATAATTTCTCCCTATCTTAAAATACAACATGTTAATTATCTTTTGAAATCAATGAAAAGATTTTCTAATATATTCTCAAAGGAGAGGAATCAGAATTACTTCTACAGAAGAAAGTCAGTTGTAAAATTAAAACTATTAATCATAATTTGTCATGAATCTCAAAATTTTCATCTTCTTTTCAATATTTTCTTGCTATTAAATATTAACTATATGAAGAAAAAAAAAGATGGAAGTAGTGAGGTTTGAGTTTTGTTGCTAGATGGGCTACTTATGTTGAACAAATAGTTATTTTTATCATTTTATTGAATTCTTAATTCAGTTTTCTTGGTAAAAATTACTTACTTGAAACTGTGAAATCAATAACTTTTATTAAAAAAGTGTTCCTATACAAAAACCACAAAAATTGCACAACAGTTACATTATACAATTGAATTTGTTTTCAGTGCAGGTAAGCTTTACAAAATTATTAGAAACTTTATTTCTGAACTCTTAAATACATATTCTGATAACGGATATCATAAGCACCAGATAGCTACTGCTTGTTTACAGATCATCAGGAGAAAGACTACAAAATTTGTTTGGAAATTATGTTCATAATGGCATACCCATCATGTTGAAAATTACGTGCTAATGCACTTAAAACTAATTCCTAATACTTACTGTTAAAAAAGGGTGTCTGGTGTTTTTCAATACTCTGCTTTCCGTAAGTGTATGAGCCACTTCATCCTGAGAAATAAAAAATAGAAGAAGTAGGTCTGAATTAAGATATAAAATTGTTATTTAATTAATTATGAGGAAAAGGTCAACACTTCCAAAAAGAGAAAGCTACAGTACAGTTTTGGAAAATGAACAAACCTGAAAGAAACATGAAAAATAATTCATATAAATAAATGTAAATATAAGTCAATATAAATGTAAATAATGTAAATATAAGTTTGGCAAAATACAATTTAATGTATTTTTTTTTCTTTTTCTTATTTTCTTGCTTTAAAATGAAGTCTTTAACTTTACATCCAATGCAGGGAAGGAAGAAATTATAATATTGGATTTGATAGTTTAAAAATATAGTCATCACAACTTTGCAGTTCTGGTATGAATCATCTGAACAACATATCTACAGAGAGATTGAATCAATTTGCAAGAAACGTGCACGGGTAGTAATTGACAGGCAACTATAAAACCTAGTCTAATCTCACCTAATGTTAAGTAAAGCCAGTTTTTTGTTTTTTAAACATTGGCTTGGTTTGGTGTTTGTTTTGTTTTTCTTTAAAACAATGTAGCCATACAAAACCCCCTGGGCTGTCCTAACCAGCAGGCGAGCGCTGCTCCTCAGACCAGGCCCGACCTCCTTCCCCGAGGACACAGACCTCGTCCACGGGAGGCGGGAGATGTCCACACTACCCCCATTTCCAGCCAGATTTTGAGAAAGGGGCAATTTGGAGAGAGACAGCGACACTCTCCTGTCCATGAGCCTGAGCGGGGAGGAGGAAAGAGAGACACTAACCTGGCCCCCGCGGGTGGCTATGCCCCGGGCAGCTCACCCGCACTCGTCCCTCTGGGTGGCTGCGGGGCAGGGGGCACACCGGAGGTGAGGAGGAGGCCGGAGGGGTGACGGCGAGGCCCCAGGGGCAGGGCTATGGCCCCTCACGCCACCAGGTTTGCAGAGAGCAGGGGCCAGGCAGGGACGAGGGGGAGAGAATGGCGGGAAGAGGGCTTGTCCTGCGCTGCAATGGCGAGCAGCTCTTAAGGACTAGGGAGAAAGTAGGTTCAGATTATGCATACACGGCCATTTTATGCAGTTCTACCAGCAGTAAGTACATGCTGGGAATCCCCCCTCCCCAGGCTGGATCTAAACAGCCTGAAAGCCGTTGGGCTGGTTTAGCCATTTTCTGTAGCCCTAAGCTGCCCTGAGTATTACAGAGAATTGAAGACTAACTTAGTGCAACTCAAACTTCAACCATAATCCTGCAGAAGTAAATATATTTAGTCAGAGTATACTTTCTTATTGCTACAAGTAATACCAATATAACATTATTGTACTGCACACACTTATCAGACTATGTTCTGAAGATAAGGTATTATTAAGCTCGAAAGTAAACACAGATGTCAGGAGTTTTAAATTAGACTTTTCAAAATTGTCAAAATAGGAAGTTCAACAACAACAACAGAGTTAGGGGTAATAAATTATGATGCCATTCAGCTGAATAGCAGTGCAACACTGAGTGTATACACTACAGCCACATACTGGGGGGAAAACAAAAAACACTCCAAGGAAAAAAGCAAGTGTAAAGTTTTATTTATTTATTTATTTGTTTGTTTGTTTGTTTATAAACCTCAGTGGTTCACCACATATGGGGTATAGAAAGCTGGCAATGGCCAGTTTTTCTGGCATTGCCTCAGAAGTTTGTAATACTGGTAGCAATTCCCTGGTAAGTGTAATATTAATCTGTCATGAAAATTTAGGATCAACAGATTTAGTCTGAACTGGGCAGATGCTACACAGCCTTCTAGATCCAGCTGTCAAGGCATCACTTTTCAGCTTCGTATTATGCTAACTGTTACAGGTATGACCTTCTATAGTGTATATTATATCACATTACAGGCTGAGCTGGGACTGCAGATCTATTCTACCTAGTGACCGTATCCTTAGCACTGATCTTCATAGTTAAATGTTATTGATAAATCCCTATGGCATTCTTACACACTGACGGGGCGAGACAGCTAAGTTCAGACTCAAGTCTGCTTTTGGTTTTAGTTTGGGATGGAGTGGAAAAACTGGTATTTGGTGACTATAGGGAAAAAAACATCGTCATTTCACTTGTGAAGATCTAAGCATAGTCTGTTCTTTATTTTTTCATCAGTCTCTTATCAATATGCAACAATACTACGGAAAACTTAGAAGGACTCCCTTCAAAACAAAATTCCAGTTCTGAGGAAGTCAAATTTAAAAGACCGAGGTGCTCCCATTTTCATCACAGGATGAAAGGCATGTTTCCTCACACACTGAATCTTCTTGTTAGTCTACAAATAGGCAGAAAAACAGACCCTGGTCTGCTTCAGGGAGTGCCAGGTTCTGCCCAATCTATCACTGAGCTACCTTTCTGTTTTCAGGTAAACAGATCAATGAACACTTGCATCCCTGATCTCTTCAAAATTTCTCTGGCTTTATACATACTTCTATGAACAAGAATTTTCGCTCAACAGAGAGAGACAAAGTTATGCAAGAATCAGTTTTAACCTTTCTAAAAATTCAGTGATATTGTAGCAGCCAGCAAAGTAAAAGGAAAAACTCTAAAATTCAAAAACATGGTTTTAATTTTATTGATAGAAAGAAGCTGAGATGCTCTGAAGGCTGGAAGGATATAACCGAGCAGCAGCAAAACAGGAGCTCATAGCAGTCAGACATAAGACTACCCTGAGGACCCCCTGGGTGCCACAGGTGAGTAGAGCACCGGGGAAGGATGCAGGCTGGAGACTGGGCCACAGCATGCAGCAAACAGATAGACTCTGAGACCCACAGGGCAACCCACAGAGACTGCTGCCATTTATAAATTCTTACAAGGAGGGCCACTGAGATGCTCCTTCCCATGCAGAATCAGAACACAGCAGCGATACCCTCTTTTCTTTCTGTATCTCCTGATTATGAAGAAGAAAAGGGTACTCTGTTGCTGTTAGTCCAAATTGTATACATGCCGACCAACCTGCCAGTGCACGTGAGACAGCTACTAAGGGCATGCAGAACTCACAGGTCAGTCTCTTCTCTGCTGAAGACATAAATTTAAGTCTCTTCCCCTGCACCAGGGCTGGTTTTAATGAAACTCAAGGAAATATAATTGGTTTTGAGGTTTCTACACCTCTATCAAATTTAAGCAAAACTGATCAGCACATTCAAAAGTTAGTAGAAAGTGAGTGACAAATGAACATAGACTGCAAAACTCCGTAAGCCCTGTTTTCATAGGCCAACAGAAAAATTAGAAAAATCTGAAGGATATTTTAAAATAAAAATATATGTAAACCACAATAGTTCCAATCCACATTCAGTTTTTACAAATACTGGTATTGTTAGCCTCAAGCATTCAAAATTCTCCGTCAGATCCACATCCCTCAAAAACCTCCTTACTTAATAATTGGGATTATTTTTAATTGCGTCTCATGGTGATAAGAGCATGTAGGTTTCTTGCTCTCAACTTGTTCTGTGCAAGTGGGATTCAAAACTTTAGAACTGCTAGAAACAAAGCTCAGAGTAGATTATTTTCATCTTTAAACTTAGTAAAATTATGACCAAGCACAAGAGCTAGTAACACTAAACTAATCAAGTTTAAGTGACTGGACAATGCTAGTTTAAACCTCTTCAGACATCAGCTTCAGACTTCTCCTGTTCCTCAAAAACTGAAAAAATGAAATTGTTAGTCCCATGCACAGCCATCTTATCTAACAGCAGGAACAGAGCACAGGCCCATTAAATTAATTGCATTTATCTGAATAAACCTGCAGTTGGCCGAGAAAAATTTTTGAAATATGTAATATATCCTACAATGCACTTTTTCTTGTTTTAAACTTGGATTGCACTATCTTCCTACCCAGTGAACTCTCTCAATGCTTTAGTACACTCTAGATTATAAGACGCTGGAAAAAGGCATGTAAAATGGGTACCCATACTTTTTTTGTACTCTTGTTTTCTGAAGATACACACATATCTCTATCAAACTCAGTTACCATCAAAAATCAAATACACCTCATGTATTAGATATTGATTATTCCATTCCAAACAAATTACCCAATATTAAAACTATAACTTTTCTTACCTTTGCAATAATGACTTCTTTTTTCAAAATCTTCATAGCATAGTATTTCCCACTAGCCTTCTCTCGGACCAGGATAACTTTGCCAAACGTGCCTTTGCCCAGTAGTTTTAAATAGTCAAAATCATTCATTGTCTATAAGGAGCAAAGAACAAGGATTAGCAAGACTTATGCTAGCTATCCAGTTCCAATATGCACACAAGTGTGTCCGCACATAACCAAATGCTGTTACCAATATAATAAGAACAGTTTACAAAAATAGGTGCACTTCTACAATTAAGTTCATAATAGTTAACTGTATCCTTAAACCACTAGGATATAGTGTTCGATACTATTATTATAGTTCTCTAAAGTCAAGTACTGCACAGTATACTACACACACACACATACTTATTTTTACAAAGTACACACAGAACAAAGTGTTAGCCTATACCAGCATTTCATGAATGCTCCACATCTAAGAAAGCTCATCAACTCATTTACTACCAGGGACACAAGAACGTGGCGTATCAGTAGGTTTTGCGTAACACCAACCACTGCACTGATGGCTTTTTTCAAACATACATGATCCTCACTGCAATATTATACCAGTAAGACTCTACAACAGTCTTTGCATCAGAGGTGGGCTTTTAAGAACTTGAATACAGATTACAGTTACATGGTTTTCACATTAATCAATCTGGCTCTGAAAAGGAAGAGGTGGCAAGTTTTCCTCTTTCATGTGACTCCATTATAGTGACCGTTCAAGCACCTAGTATCACCCTAGTTTTGCAGGTTAAATGTAGCACATCCAAGAGCTGGTTCCACTAACAGGCAATTTGAGTCCAGTAGGTTTATCAGCTCAACTGGAGTGTCACACACCGCAAGAATATGACCAGACAATCTCAAATCCCAAAGCAGTTTAGCCACTTTCATGAGCACAAAGCTTAAGTCAATCATCATCTTAGTTCTGCAAGTTCATTTCACAGCCAGTTCAGAAGCATCAACCCTATGGTCTATGCATTAGATGAAAAGATGAGGATGCAGAAAAAACAGCACAATACTGAGAATGCAGCGACTACACAGGGTCACCTTGGATTGACAGCAGGGTTTCTTTGGCCAACTCAGGGCCAATCATTGGCTTCCACTGTGTGTTTCCACACCACATCTTTCAGCATGCTGTGTTACTGACTTGGTTGCAGCACCACGTAACCACACACAGACCCTTAAGGCACCCAAGAACCTTGAGGAAAGCAGTTAAAAGCTCTGAAAGACAACACACTCACCTATTCTTGTTATAGTACTGTCCTGCAGTATCAATAACCTTCCTTCCTTTGTGAATAATACACCTCAAAACATTTATAAAGAGTAATTATACTCTGAGTCTCAGTTTTGCTAAGTTAAATATATTTAATCCTGTTATGTGTGAGGAAAAGGAAAGATCGTGCCTTATCTTTCATCTTCCTAGTGTCTCTTTCTATCACTACTTGCAGCCTCAGGCAGTTTTCTTGAATATTGGTGTTCCAGATACACTTCTACTTGTGTCTTCCACAATGGAATTAGTATGTTCCTTGTCCCTACGAGAAACACCTCTGACAGTGCCTACATATCTCACACACATTCCAAGTGTAGAGCTATTGGGCATATCCCCAATGTGCAATCACAAATAGTCACAGTAAAATATATTCTCTCTTGTTAGAAAAAATAAAGGGCAGAATTTCCTTCTGAAATTACTTATTCCTTTAAGCTCAAGTGCATGATACTATTTCTGTGAATCTGAAGTTGCTGTCGACAAACTGTGAAAATAATTTATGCAATTGCTCACTCAGAGTCAGTTTGAAATCTGCTCACATAAGGGGTAGAACTGAATTTCCATCAAACACTTTAATGCTATAATTCCTTAGCTTTCAAGTGTTCAACCTGCAACTTAAAAGCTGCAAAGGTCTCCAACAGACTACTTAAGGTAACACCTGGATAGCTGGATATTTCAAAGATTTATTAAAGAGAGGATGCTTTTCATATATCAATTTTCTAGCTATATTAGCAGGAATTACATCTTTTTCCTATGTCATGGTGGATTGGTAGCTTCTAAGCAAACTAACCTTGGTAAATTCCATTCTTTGCTCACACATAAACATACTTAAACATTTTGCACTGACAGATCTTGTTTTGCTGCCAAACCTGCCTCACATCAGGAAGAACAAAACTGCATTTATCCCAGTAAGAAATATGAGTAACAGAGATTTCAAAGGCTCAGTATACCTTTTACCTAAAGCAAATCCACACAAGTGAGTGTAAAGTTAAAGTTTATGGCCACAGACAAATCCTTAAATGATCAACTTTTCCAAAAGCTAGTATAACGTGTTACAACTAGTGATACATGATGTAGTATGTAAAGTTGTGATCCAAACACTGTGTGGCTACTAGTACTTAATCAACTAAAGGTAAGACTTCTCAAATATCACAGTCAGTACTTTGGAAAGTCAGGTTATCTACTTCGATAGTTCTATGATAACCATCAACCCAAAACCAACTGCTTTTGTGCTAAAGCAGTGAAAATTGACAACACATGAAAAATCCAAAATGCATTAAAAACACAATTCAGGCAGAAGATGAGTAATTCAGGGCAGAATCCTCCATATCTTCAGTCATAAGCTATCGTGTTCCCTGACAAAGAAAGGCCAACAGCTTTATTGATAAAGAATACTGACTTAGTAATTGTAACAACTTATCACTTCTAACAGTTAAAAATTTATGGGATCATAAGCAGCCTCAGAGGGGTAACTTTTTCCCATACTTCTGATCTTCTTTGAGAGGCTGGCCTTAGAGAGGGACCATCAGAGTCTGAATAAAATCAGCTCAGAAAAGCAGCCCTTTGCCCGCACACAGAAGGAGGATGTTGGCTCAGCTGATCACAGACATGGGTTTGATGCTAAGGGGAGCAAGCCAGTTAAATCGAAAGACTCATTTGCCCAAAATTTGCTTACATAATGTTCATCAAAGCAGTCATGAATCTAGCTGCAAGCTCAGTGAAAACGAGTTAAAAAAATATATGTATAAGAGGAAGGTAATAGGTTTGCAAGATTTTGAGCCGTGGCTTAACAGCAGGTTATGGCAGTAGTGCTAGTTCTAAGAATAAAGTCTCCTGATGCTCTCATTCTTTAGAAGCTCAGCAGAAGGCTTAGAGATGATATGCAGTGCAGGGTAACTCAAAAAGTCTGCCAAAGAACACAAGACCTTGGGAGATAAAAACACAGATGCCATAGCTAAGGGTGTACTGAAAACTGGTGGAAAAATGGAAATACTTCCTAAACCTGAGGGATGTTGGTAAGCAAGTTTGGAGGCTCCCCTAAGATTGGATTCTTTCTCCTTGATGATTTTCCCGCCTTTTTCATTCCTACCAAACTCTGAGGATTGAATCTTTTTCCTCATTACATTACTTTTTGGTTTCTTCTGAAAAATCTATTCTTTATTCATCCTGCACCCTGCAGAACAAATCTCTAAACAAAGGAAAAGCAATGAAGCTACAGGAAACTGCCCTAATCAAAGAACCATATGACGTTCAGCCTTCTGTAAAGCCTATTTACTCCCCTATGGATGATCTCTTCAAAAGAATACACCCTACTACAGGTGCTGAGAATTCCTACCAAGGAACTAATTTTTTAAAATTCCTGATTTGCACAAAGATTATACCACTTGGAGTTTTCATCTGATTTCATCAGGAATAAACTCTACTTACAAAGAATAGTACAACAAGAAATAAAAGCAGTTTGCTAGGAATTTCTAGTGCTCCGAATTTTAGTGATGCTATTACTGTAAAACTTAAGTGGCATATTGACAACATTAAAAAAAGTGAAAAAACAAAAAAAGTGCTTTTGGTTCTTCCAGCTAATCTGGCCGGGGATGTTGCTGTCGTGTCTGTTCAAATCAAGTTCCATATCCTAAAGACTGTTTTCTTTGTAAACCTTTTGCTACCTTTTTAAAGAAGAACAGGCCCACTCCTCTCTGTCTTGTTTCTTAATCTGATTATGCTCTTCTACTCATATGTATACCATCTGGTGCATGCACAAGCAAAATTCACTGGGCTTAGATGTAAAATCAGGTGACAAAACAAGCTTGTAGGACACATTGCGCAAAAAATCCCTGAAATGAAAAGAAATCCAATACCAAACAAAAGCAATAAAAATGCATTAAGTCATTATAACTGAAATGGTTCTGATTATATTAACAACTACAAAAGCTTAAACAGAAGCTGTTCTACAAAACAGAAACAGTTCTAAAAAAAATGTATTTTTTCCCAATTTCAATTAACACAGAGAGAGTGACAACTCCCTGTCATTATGGTCACTTAATATTTTTGATTCCAAAAACTTCTGAGAACTTTTTGCTAAAGTCTTCCAACAGTCAGAAATCTGCAGTGGGATTTTGAGTTTTGGAAAAAAAAAAAACCAAAAAACAAACCTTGCAGTCATCAGTATGCTCTTCACTGGCTACAAAAACTCCATTCTGCTCTATTATTAGGTGTTGAATATCACCATTTTTCATTTCACCTTTGTTTTGTAGAGTTTGCTTTCGGCTTGTTGCCAAAGCCATTAAATATTCTGCAGCACTGCACATGCACTGTCCCAGCATCTTATTTCAGCATTTCTTAAAGCGTAAGCAGCAAGACAGAAACAAAACTGATCTTCCTCCTCCTCCTCCTGTTCCCACAACCCCTTTTGTTGGACGGGAAAATGCACTGCACTGTGAACAAGGAAAGCGTACATTCCAGATAAACTACTTATATTAGACAGCATTAATTTTGACACCTTGAAAATGCTTGTTGTTATGCGGTAGTTTTGTACTCCACTAAGAGGATACACAGGCTTGGAACAGTGCTCAGATCTTTAATAGAGCAAACCCAAATCCCTTCCACATAATCGCTCTGCCTCTCAGAAAGACTGACACATCTCGAACGCTGCCTCTGTCTTGCTGTCACTTATCATATTTTACCCTGAAGCACAATCGTTAAACATCTATGCCACAAGGCTAAAGTTCAATGTCAACTTGACAATGTAGGATGAGAGTATTGTTACAGCTGTATATAATTAGTTTTTACCTTTTTCTATAGCGGAAAAAGGTTTGAAAATGGCATACAATGAAACAACATGAAAGAATTGCTTGCACTTCAAACTCAAGTTTTCAAAAGTTATGACATGATAGAACTAAAATTTCCTATGACACCTTTGTTATATTCATAAGGGTATAGTTTTCAGCCACTGATTTTTCTATGATCCTTGCTTCATATAGTGCAACGAACAAAACATACTCTATGAGTAAAGGCACACGTTCACTGTTTCTTTTCATTGTTCATCATTCAAAGGCATTCAGTTACATTAGCTATAAGACTATTTTGCTCTGTCAGCAGACTTCTACTTAGTTTTCTACAGGTTTCACTTCTAGGTATAAAGAACGAAGCCAGTCCTAGAGAAACAGGTTATTATTTCTCATGCAATTTCAATGCATTTCTTGAGTTATGTCAATCCTGTATAGTAAATGAGAGACATCCGTTTGAATGATCCATTCTTCAAGAGCAGTCCGTACTTACAAAAACTTAGGACAAAATGGAAACATAAAATAATAAGCAAATTTTTGTGTGGCACTGAATCTTTGAAACATGCTCTTAGTTGCGTGTTTATCCTGTTGACTCTGGAGATACAACTACAAGTATGTTACAGCCAACAATGTACGTATCCCTACTTACACCAAAAGCTGTGAAGGACTGCAAAAAATAAAACATTGTTTTCGCTTACTTCATTGAAAACTAAAGCAGAGTTATTTTCCCAGATAGCAAAAAACAAGGTCATTAGAAGCCAACTCCCGCTAGCCTTTCTCATGCAAATTGTCTAATTTGTACTGGGTATTATTTGCATGAGAAAGGGGGCAAATCTACTTGTCTAAAAAAAATATTTTATCACCATACTTCTAAAAGAGTAAACAAACAAAAAGGAAAGGAGGAAAATAATATTCAAACAATAAGCAGAATGTTAACATGTGCCTGAACGGTTGAACTTTGTTTTTCGGAAGTGCTGTATCAGATAGCATAACAAATAAATAAAACTAGCAGTGCAGCTTTATTAAAATAGAACAAATAAGTACTTTTATGCTTGTAATACACCGAAATTTATGTAGAAATACTATTCCCTGTATATTGTTTTACCCAACTAGACCATTCTACAGAAGTTATTTACATATTAGTCTTGTCAGTTATTTTTTAATGTCATTACCTTTCTTTTATGATGGGTTGTTGAAGCATCCATCTCCTCTTCTCCTATATTGTCTATCTGTGAAGTTGGACTACAGTTCATCCTCTCCTCTTCTTGCCTCTGAAGTCTGTCTGCTACAGCCTGGATTGCTTCTGTCCATTCTTCCCTATCATGAACAAGCCAACATCCCTATTAGAAACTCATAAAATACATCCAAATATATGGTTTATAATGTTTTTCACATGCTACATTGCTTCTGTGTTCAATTCTTACATTACACAGCAGAAGACTCATATAAATTAATCACTTCAATTTCCTTCCAAATTCTGCATTATGTCAAAGGTGGTGAAGCTGATCAGCATCAAAAAGGATCACTGCATGGTTAATGTCAAGAATTATCAGTGTCTGATTTTGTAAATATTTTAATAGCGGAAACTTGAAAACACTTGCTCCAGGTATAATACAGCTCAGAGCATAGAATGTCATCTCCTATCCAATACTACCTGATAATAACTTGCTATTTTAAGGGACTTTTTGGTATTCCCCTTCCCTGTGAGACATTTTCGTAGGAAATAAAAAAGATGTATTAAACCATGCCGTGTGTTCAAGTCTTTGTCTGTCTCCTCTTAAAACTCAACTTGTTGGCTAATTTCAAATTCCCCTGAGAAAGAGGCCCTCAAAGATAATTGAATTCCTACAAGCATCATAAAAACCAGTGGCTGCACGGAGGGGCAGGCCCACAATGAGGGTTTCTGTGGAGGGACAAGCAGGGGCAGCTGAGCCCACGGCTATTCTGCGTGCTGGTTAACCAGCACAGATACACCAGCCGGCCCATCAGCACGCCCCAGCCCCACACCAAGTGCAGTACCTGCTGCTTTTTGCTCAGCCAGCAAGGGATACAGGAGTCTGGTGGTATTACTGAATGCAGTAGGAGGTACTACACTGCATACACAGAAGAAAGATAGGGTGGAGAAACTAAGTACCAAGGCAGAATAAAAAAAATTCTAAGTGAATATACTAACGAAAGAGAAACAGCAGAAAAAGCAAAGTTGTTGGTTATTTATTGATACAAACGATATGAATAGAGCCAAATCATAGTATTAGTCTCAACAGGACAGATGCTCACAGTGGGAAGACTCAGTGCATCTAACCAGAGACACAGTACAGAACATTTTAGCAAGGTACACCATCCCATATCTCCTACATGGTTTTGGTGCAATAAAAAAGTTAATTCTTAAGAGTTTGTGTATGTTTACTGAAACAAGAAAAACAAATAAGCAAACATAAAATAAATTATAAAAAAACATACTGCTTTCTGTGCCAAAAAAAGGAGCATATTAGGAGGAGTGAAAGGAAAATTTAAGACAGCGAGGCTGGAAAATACTTCAATGCAAGCTTCTATTGTTCAAAATTTAACACGTCAGAGACATATCATGACATAGTTTTGCCTTATTTGAACACACTCATCCCACGTACTCGCAGGCAACTCTTAGACTAGCTATGAGCTCAGATAATATTTTACAGAAGCCGACTTATAAATTCTTCAAATAACTGTTCAAATGTGCTTAGAATGTCACAGTTCCAAGAGCTGATCGCTGTGCAGTCCCAGCAGAGACTGTGCCAAGGCTTCTACGTGAAGAACATGGAAAGCAAAACAAAAATAAAACCCTCACCGTTCCTCTGGAGTGTCTACATGGAACGTCCTCTCTATGACAGTGGTCCACTGAAGACATCTGATAATGAACGTGTTTGGCTTTGGTCGCTCTGTTTTCATTAGTTGACATTCTAGAGAAATACATGACATTGCCTCTTTTACACACTGCGAGTTAACGGGTGAAGAGCAAATAAAATTACTTAGATAAAATACATATAGCTTATGTATACCAGCATGTATATCCAGCATGTACCCAGCACATATAAGGAAGTACAGAAAGGCAATATAACCATGGGCTTGAACAAAAGGTAGCAGGTAATGATTATAAGGTGAAGAAAGCAGTCAGAGGAATTGATGGAACTTGTATTGTTGCCCATATAAAGAGTGTGATCTCCATTTGCAAACTGGGTCTGCATTACGAGGGTAAGAAGAGTACTTGATCCCGGATTGCTCTAGCATGCCAAGGTAACAGCAGTAGCCACAGGCACATTTTTCCATCTGTACCTGGCAGGAAGAATGTGACATTTTCCCTTCACTGGTAAGCATGCCACAATTACCCACGCTACTGTCACTTCAGGATTAGATTTATTGCAAAATACCCTATCTGAGAAAATTCAGATGTTGAAACTAATCTGATTATTAAATATAGAATAACCCCACACACACCGCCAATGGGGCTGCCCCAGGAAATCATCTAGTTCTCTTTGCGTCCCAGGGCAGAATCAGGTCTACCTATTCTATTCCTCATAAGTACTTCTCTAAACACTTTCTACAATCCCCCAAAAAAGCAGTAATTTCAAAACCTCTGTAAGAAAACTATTCCATCCAACTAGATGGAAATTAATTATTTTTATAGTTGGAAGATTTTTCCTAGCATTTCATGCAACTGTTCCTATAATTTAAGCATATTGTTTCTTGCTCTATTGACCAATTTATTTTATCTTTTCAGCAGCTATCCCTTTTAGACATTTGAACACTATTTTATCTCTCTTCAGTCTTCTCTGGCCTAAATCAGTTCAATCAATCTGTCCTCACAGGTTGTGCTTTCAGATCCAAGATCTTACTTGTCACAAAATTCTAGACATACACTAGACTGCCTATTACTCCTTTGTCACAAGGCCACAACACTGGTAATTCAGGCAATGGTTCAATGAGACTGTGTAATAGATTTTACGATGTAACATACTGCAATAAACATTACATCTGCAAAACACTGACCCACTAGAACTCTTTATTCGTGCAAATATATTTAAACATTTTTGTGAAGTTAAGATTATTCTGTCAAAAGTGTAATTTGTTTTCCTGCAGCTACCATGAAATACACACAAACATCACATCTCATGTTCTGGAATGCTATCACTTGTTCAAAGCTGATCCAGATCAAATGTGTGATCTAAAGTGATTTATCAGGTTCACAAATCGATCAATAATGAATACGGCAACAGAATTCCTGTTCACTTACTATCTGTTGTAACTTCCTTTTGGTAGAGCCACCACCTCCCAGTTGACCCACGTCTTTTACTGACTATTCTTTAGCATAAAACCTTGCACTTATTCTTGGTGAATTACATTTTATTTATTCCAGTTAATGTCAATGCTTTACAAAAATCATGTTATATGACATGTACCGCTTCACAAGGCATGCTATTCTTTCACAGAAATAAATCATATTGGCTGACGTATTTTTTCTTCACAAATTCAGGGTCCTGAAACCTCAACTATCATCCACAGTTTTACAGGAATGCGTTTTAAATATTCTCCAAGGAACTGCATCAGACCCAGCAAATTTCTAAACACCTAACATACGTAGGTACCCTCTACCCTGCTTTTGCTTTCTCTGTTATGCCTTTGTTGCCGGTGTTAATTGTACAAGATACATAGCTGACCTTCTGAAATGCAGCTGCATACTGACAATACATTAAAGCAATTCTCCTTGATATTAGCTCATAACAAGCTTAAAGCCTCAGTTCAAGGCATTGATTTGTATGCCTGAACACCTAAACAATTTGGGAAATGATTCTCTAAGAAATGGCCTCTGTCTCCATGATATAAAGCCACAGCAAGTATCAGCAGACTTACTTGTACTGGACCATCCTTAATACAGGCATGAAAGAACTGATATTAGGGGGGGTCTTTGCAAGGACGCCTTGATTTAAGAACTTTCAGGCATACTGCAATTTTTTAATTTGAAAAAGCAAAGAGTGGAAGTGGATATGTCTGTCGATAGGATTTTTTTCTGCAGCTTAGCAGAACACCTCAGAAGCTTGACAGACACATGTATAAGAAACGGAAGAGGAATAAAGTAAATATTGCACTACACGCGTGTGTATTCCTTGATGCACAAACCTACGTATTCACCGTACATCTATAAATGATCTAAGTCAGACTGCTTACTGGTCAAGGAGATGACATTACATTTAACAAACCTGCATACACTGTGGAGACTCAAAAGAGACACAGTAATCCAACCTCATTGTTTTTATAAACTCAGCTAGGTCTTGGATGGGATGACTGCAAATATTACTCATGAGATCAAAGAAACCCCAATCTTCAGGGATATGGTTGAAGTCCAAGTTATGATCATGATGACAGTGAGGCTAGGGTTAACAGGCTATTTGTTTTCTTAACTTTTTCAGCTGTAGCTCTAAGGAATGTGTTGGGCTACCTTCATAACAGAAGAGACTAGCAGCATTGTCTGCTCTCAGATTATCTCGTCTTACTCCTGACAAAACCATCCTCTCATCTTTAATCCTATCACACTTCAATCATGTAGGCTGAAATTTTCTTTCCTGGGTGTCTGCCTAAAGCTGCACACTGCTGGAAAATAATACTTTTTGGAGACGAGACTTAGAACTTGGCAAACCAAGACTTCTGATATCCTTTTAGTATTCCCGTGAAAATGTAAGGCATCTGGCCACACTACATGTGGGAGGGATAAGAATACAGTGGGAGGAGGGTAAAAAATTACAGTATCAATTAGTAAAGCATAAAATCATTGAAAATCTCTGCATTGAGTATAATCCAGAGACTACAGCTATCTCCTGCCTCTACACCTGCTGAATGGAAAGCTCTTTCTCCTATATTCATAATGCCTCATCCTACTCCTCAGACAATATGAAAAAGAAACTACCTCGTTGAGGCAAAATCCAATACGGAAAGATGGCATACAGCAAGTTATTTACAGAAGAGATGTCAGGAACAAAAGGCTAGGGAATAAAGGGAGAAGAGTGGAAATGGGACAGGAAAAAGACTGGAACCTGTGTGAGAAAGAAAAACTTGGGGGACAGCTAGAGTATAGCTAATCTAGAGTAGCTAGTTTAGGAGAAGGAAGGTAAAAGAAGCTGCCAGGGACAGAAAAGTGAGGTGACTGCGTTAGGACAATCTGAAGGCAAAAAGGTACAGAGTCAAACCTCCAGAAAAGCCTGTACCAATTAAAAAGCACATCCTCTCCACTGCCTGTAATGGAGCCGAAGATTTTGAATTTCACCACTCATTTTCTGATCGCAAATACATACAAAAATGCATACATTAAAATGGCATTAATTTAAGTTTGACAACTCAAGCATGCAAAAATTGGAACTAATAGAATTAAGCCTGCCTATGTCCAAATGCTATCTATAATATGGTCTTTACCTATATATATATACTACATACAGTATAATAAATATATTATACATATTAGTATGTACATTATGTAAATCTGTATCTAATATATAGATGTATTATTGGTACTATCTATATTAATTTTTTCAGACAGTCCTCAAAATGATGATATGCGTTATTAACAAGAACGAAACATATGGATGCATATACTAAGCTCCGTAACTACCAAAGAGTATTTACTCTCTGAGTTTTGATTACAGATGATTAACTAAATCAATTAAAGGTAATAAAAAACACCTTAGCAACTGAAAATGGCACTGAAAACATAAAAACCAAAAAATACCATTTCACTATCACTGAAGGATACTATTGAAAAATAAAATCTAGAAAAACTTAATGAGCTTCTTTAATATTCTGTTCAAAGTGGCTAAAGATTTAATTTCCTTGTACAAGGTTAAAATTGAATATGTTCATATCCTTCCCTTCTGAAGCAAAAAGAGTTTCAAGAAAGAAGTGGAAGACCAATGTATTTCTAAAAGTGGAGTTCTACCCATCCTTCTGAAGTAGACAAAAGTAACCGAAGTCTGCTGATATTTAGTACACCCACATGCTTCATGTGCTGCCATATACAAATGTATGGGATAAACAACATTCCTGTCATGACTGCAACATGAATAAAAACTTGTTTGTGAATGTCTTTCACCTACAGCTAGGGAGGAAAAAAAAAAATCTATTAAGATGATTAAGTGCTGTAATACACAGTTACTGCTAATTACCAAAATATTTTTCTACTAATTACTGGAAAAACCATAGTAGTTTTAGACAGAGAGAATAGTTTGGAAACTACAAAAGCACAGAAGAACGAGTGAAACTGGCTACTGAGAGCTGGCTCCGAACGCTCGAGTGATAGTTGGGTCATTACCAAGAGTAGAGAACACTCTACCATAATGTCTTCAAGTTTGCTACTATACATAAACATATGTAATTAAAGGGCTGAATCTCAACTCAAAACAGTTGGAAGTCTAAATTATCATTCAAAAAGATGAGTAAGCCAGTAAACAGACAGACTCAACTTTGTGTTCTTGTATGCTAGCCATCTACAACTTGGAATTACACATTTTAATCCTAAAGCTTTCTGTCTTGCTGGGATTAAATATCGGTCATGAGAATTTTCCCCTTTAATATTAGAGGGGATGAAAAACCTTGGGGGAGAACACTTGTTCGAAGCAGCAAAATACAAAATCAGCAACAGAAACTGACAACTCTGTTCCAACAAGTCTGTAGCACTCGTTTGGCCATTTTTGGATCTATATAGAGAATGGAAAAAATGAAATAAAACCAGTATAAAGAAATGCAATAGATGTTCCTCAAGTATTGAACTTCTCTTTTTAAAACAACGAAAAAAAGTCAGGTACATACCAGAGGTTAACTTTTGTCTCCATATCCACAATCAATCTGACAATTCTAAAATGTTAGGCTACCTTTTTCGAATAACTGCTACTATCTAAATTAAGTAGCTATGCTAGTT